ATGGATCCCGGGAATTAAAACATTTTTGCAAACATTTTATGAAACCCTAATATATAAGTATATCTCTATATAAATATATTTTGCAAAACAAATTTCAACAAATTTGAAATCAATTGCTGACAGTTTAGGTTTCTATCAGAGAGAGTGCATTCCCCGATCATTCACTTTGTTCGACAAAGGGTCTGATCCTATCACTATGATCACCCACCTAGGCGAATTCTCGGACCGCCCCAACATACCCAGGTTTTGACCCGCTCTAAGGATCTCACTGATTGGCATATCAAAGACAGCCCAATCCGACACCTAGTGCAGTACCATAAGCGAGTCTAGGGGTTAGGTGTAACATTCCAGTTTTGCCCATCTATCTCCAAGGTCCAGGGCAATACTGGAATTTGGTTTAGTTCAAGGTTTCAAGAAAACCCACACTGCATGTACTTCAGGTTTCACCCTAGCAGCTAAGACAAGCCACCCCAACCCACTTGGCGGCACATCAGTGTCAACCTTGGCGGGATAAATCTCCCCAGATCTATCCAATGGCTGTGAAGATTCTAAACTAACCCGAGTCTCACAAATATCCAGTTTAAGGGTATTACACAGAAACACACCAAAATAATATGAATCAATTATGCACTTTATTCATTTACAATAAATGACAATAAGTACATCAATTTGATTGGAGCTAAGGGCATACACTGTCTAACAGAATTCTCAATAACTATTGAAGATTAAATTATTGGTATTTATTAGAGATTAGACTATTAATTTAGCTAAAATTAGGAGTGCTCATGGGTCATTTCAATTCGATTGAAGGTCGTTTGGCCAACTAAACCAACTTGGTTGGGTTGGGGAGTTGGTCATTGAAACTAGATGTTCATGGGCCAGGTAGCCCAACAAGTTGGCCTGACTCGACCCATTCTAAATCGGGCTTGGGCAACATTTTAAGCCCTTGAGGCTTAGGGTTGGGCTTTAAACATTATGCCTAACTATCTTTCAGGTTGGGTTCAGGCTTTCCCAAATAAGCCTGGCCCAAGCCCGACCCGATAATATTATATATAGTAAAAAATAAAATATATATTAATAAAATATAAAATATATTATATAATAATAAAATTAGTAGTGAAGAGGTATTATATATTATAACATATAGAATATTATAAAATATATAATATATTATTAATAAATATAATATATAATATTTGTCTAGATCGGGCTGGGCTTAGGCACAAGCCTAGTCATCTTCTGTTTATAAAGAGGAAAATCTTGGCTTGGGCCTACCTGTATACAAGTCTACCCGAAATTGATTGAATTTTAAAATTCTCAATAATTTTAACATATCTAAATATTTTAAATAACAAAATATTTAACATAACTAGATTTTAAATAGTTAGAATAACAAAATTATGTAATAAATTTATGGAAAATTGTCAAAAACTCACCATAAGTTTTTAGCATTTCTCTTAAACTCACCACAACTTTTCAAAATGTCTAAAACTCACCATGTCATTAACTTGACGTTAAAGAGACTAACGGCTGTTAATATGTTACCATTTTAACCTTCATAAAAATATAAAATCGATACATATATTTTAATATTTAGACATGAAAAAAAGAAAAATGCTCAAAAAAATATTTTCAAATATAAAATACATAAAAACATAGAAATTACAAAAAATATAAAAAACTATAGAAATTGCACAGAAAATAAAAAATTATTTTTCAAATTATATAATACTATAGAAATTGAAAAACAAAATTAGAAAATAAAAGTTGTAGAAAAAAACACCAAAAATTATAGAAAAACACAGAAATTGAAAATAAATAACAAAAAATACATGAAAATTTATAGATGGTAGAAAATAGAAAAATGTAAAAAAAATCAGAAATTATAAAAAAATATTAGAAATTATAACAAAACACTAAAAATGTAATAACAAATAGAAAATTGAAAAATGAAAATGACCCTTTTCCTCTAACTCGCCATTCAATGGTGATTTGGTCATAAAAATTGTTATTTATGCTGACATGGATACCTCTGTTGAGAAACATTAACAGTGCACTAACGGAAGGTGAGTTGAAAAATAAAAACTTACTAACATGGTGAGTTTTAGACGTTTTGAAAAGTTGTGGTGGGTTTAAGAGAAATGGTGAAAACTCATGGTGAGTTTTTGATAATTTCCCTAAATTTAAAAAATTCTTACAAGTAGAAAAGTAATTATAATAGATTTCATACTATTTGAATTAATAATATAACAAAATTATATAATAATAGTATAAATTAAAATTTTATAGATTATTACATTCAATAAATAATTAATATTTTAAAAATATAATAATGAAATTATTGGAATAACTAAATAATATTGTAGATAACTAATTTTTAGATATGTTAGATATAAAAAATTAATAACTAAACCATATTTCGAACATTAATTGAAGGATAGATTAAATAAGGAAATTCTGTAATAAGTAATAACTTTCAAAAGTAATATTTATTAATAATATTTTTTAAATATTTATCTATATTTATTATATATTTCTATAAACTAATCTTAATATTACTGTATTTCAGTAATTATTTATTGTATTTATGATAAATATAGTTTTAAAAATTATGTATAAATATACTTTTGTTTTAACAATTATTGTATTTAAAATTTAGTCATTTTAAATATTTTGTTACTTAAATATTTAAATAATATATAAAATATTAAAAGTTTTGAGTTTGAATTTTATTTATTTTAATGTTATTACATAATATTAAATATTTTTATATAATTATTTAGCTATTTTTAATGTTTTGTTATTTAAGATATTTATTTATTGAAATATTTAAATAAAGTTTTAATTTTTAATGTTAAATTTTTATTATTATTGAATAACTTTTAAATTGAATAATTTATAAAATTATAATTTGTATTGTTACTATATAATTTCATGATGAATTTTGTAAAATATAAAATTATCAATAATATGAATATTATTAAATCTATTGTAATTAATTCTTGTTTTTTGAATAAATATTTTAAAGTTAGTACATAATTTTGTTATAATATTTAAATAATTCTGAAATTTTTTTAATTGATTTTTTTTGGATAGATATAGATAAAAAGTGGGGGAGAAGATAAATAGGAATTAGAGATAGTTTAGGAGAGAATCTCTTTACTAAATTAGAGATAATTTAAGAGATTAATAGGAGTTAGAGATAATTTAGGAGATAAATAGGAATTAGAGACAATTTAGGAGAAAGTGGTGCCACTTGGCTAAACATTAGAAAAACAAATCCTTAATCTTTATGGTTGTTATAAATAAATAAGCGTATATGGTTTCCTTATTGGTTTAATGGGTAATTATGTGGAATTAAAGAAATAAAAAATTCAAAAAACAGGAAATTAGGAAGAAGGGTTTGGAGGAAGGGGAGGCATGATGACATGGACTGTATTGCTATATATATAGATAGATTTCCAATGTAAATAAGGCAATGACCATTTTACCTATAAAAATCCATTATTAAAAGGGATATTTTTGCCCCATTTAAGTATTGACAACTTTTCCCCTGTTATTTATCCACCTAGGTAAGCGATACCCAAGAAAATAAACTTTTCTTGGTCTCTACATAAATCTAAAAAAAGAACATGGGTTTCTTGGTCAATGAGAATCAAAATCCTACCAACCAACTTTCCCCCTACTCAAAATCCAAAAAAAAAGAATGCCCCCTTAGGTATATCAAGAGCTGGGGTTTGGTGAGAGATGGGAATACTGCAACTGTAAATCACCATTGTTGACGTTCGTAGATATAGGTTATAAGCGGAACCACATAAATCTTTATATGTGTTTTGTGTTTTATTTTCATTTTCTCTACTTGTCAATTAATTTTACCATTCCTGACTTTGTTAGTATCCACAAACAACGACACCCGATAATTCCACATGCATTTACAGAGCAATAGTTCACACTGTCCAAGTTGGATGGATTAGTCCATTCTTTCCAATTCTTGGGCTGGTAAGAATGATTAAACGAGGCCCACAAGCGCTAACCCAACCCAACGTTTTATTTTGGTGCTCTTCCATTGTTAAACCATGGGCTATATAATAGGAAGAAAAAATACATTATATGGGCCAGTAATGGTGCAGTGGGCTATGCAATCATACTAGATACCTTGGGCTCCAAAGACACACACTTGATCCTTGATATGGAAACATGAAAAAGAAATTGTGAGACTTGGGACTTAGGAGACAGGGAGAGTAGATACCTTAGCATCCCTAGATTCATACAACCAACCTGTAGATTCTGGTTCATCCATCTAAGTGGTGGGAAACTCGGAATTTGCCACAACGTCCCCTATGTGGCAGAAAAGATTTAGGCTCAGCTTGGAAAGAGTATAAATACAAATATGTACAGTGTAAATACATAGAAAATAATATAAAATACAAGATTTTGTAGTCTACAGATTTGTATTTTTACTCTTTACAAACTGAGCCTTGATTTGGTTTGAAGTTTTTTTTTTTGGTTTCCCATTTCTAATATCCCTTTAATTGAGAGGCTCAGTTAGATGGACTATGACCAGGAATGGCAGATCAAACATTTTGTAGGAAAAACATAACATCTACAAGCTTAACAGCGAAATTCTTTTACCACCAAATTAGTAGGTATTATTTTTATTTTTATTTTCTGAAAATGGTTCATTTGGTTCATGGGAATAGGAGTTTAGAATCGGATTTGGAATGGACTATTCCGATTCTAATTCTTTAATTGGGTGGAATCAAAATTTCATTCCCATTCCTGGTAGAATGGCATTCCCCTATTTGAGGGAATGACCATTCCTTCTCCCTCCCTTGAGAATGAAATCCCACTCCGGCTGTTTTTAATTCTCATTCTAATTTCTATCTGAAACCAAACAGATCATGGGAATAGATCATTCTGATTTCAATTTCGAGAGATTTCAATTCCAATAAAATTAATTTTTTTTTTCTTTACAAAAATCTTCAAAAAGATATATATGATTTTTCCAATAGGCTTTAGAACTTTGATGATAATTCATAACTAATGACGAAGAAAACGAATGGAATGGCATTGCTATTCTCCATTCAACCAGAAATCAGAATACACTCTCCTGACTACATATTCTTGTCCATCTAAAGCAAATCTTAAGGCTGTGTTTGGTTGATATTGATCTATCATGTATGGTGCCTGGATGGCATTTCTGTATTGCAAAGCTTTGATAACCTGCGAGATTGTTGAGCAATAATGGATGCAGTAGAAGGACTTTCTGCCAAGATAACTTCATACCCATCCCTGAATTTATCCATACCTAGGTACAAAACCTGCCAGAAAAGCCCTCCAGTGCATGGGCCCCCACTTTGAGCAGAGTCATAAATATTGCTATATAGAGTATCAAAGTAAGTATCCCTTTGACTTGAGTTGTACCCTGAAGTCCTAGATGACTTCCCAAATTCAGCAACGATGAGGGGTTTGCCAAGAGATGAATTTGAGTCTTGGATGTGGACCTGTAACCATGTCTGCAGGAAATTTAATTGGGCCCCATAATCAGAATCAGAGAACCTGGAATGCAATGAGAAAATCAAACAATATGTGTTTAGTATTATCTTGTGACTTGTTAAAATCCATTAACTAGAAATGCTTTAGTCTCATTCGTTTTTCGATAAATTATTTATTCGGGTAAATGCATAAATATTTTCTATGAAACACTTATTCAGGTAAGCATATTTATTCATTTTTTTATTTTCTAGGTAAATAAGATAATGATCATTTTAGTCATAAAAATCCATTATTAAAAGGGATAATTTTGTCTCGTCCAAGTGTTGGTAATTTCCCCTCACTTGAGAGATGGGTATTACTTACATACTCATGAAAAATAAATTTTTCATAACCTCACATAAATCTAAAAAAACATGAATTTCTTGGCCAATAAAAACCAAAATCCCATTAACCAACTTTTCCTTTTCAAAATCCAGAAAATAAACCAAACCAACCATTAATACTATCTATCATTTATTGGGGGGAAATTACCATATATCTGGATATGCATGAATGGTAGCAAAATCAATCTGTGCAATCTGATTATTGGAAATGAAATCTGTTCCGAATGAGTAACCATGAGGATTAAGTTGCTTCTTTGATTCACCATAGAACCCTTCAAGCCCTACTTCCAGTAAATGATTGTCGTCAATCGATTTCACATGAGTCGCCATTTCCTCTATCCACTCCTATAGAAGGTACAAAAGGAATATATAGAGAAAGGATATGAGTGAATATAACAGAAAGAATATTAAGGAAAATAATGATGTTTAACTATTATGGATAGCTTGAAAATAAGCATTGGCCCGATTCAGCGACAACAGAAAACAAAATACCCATTAATGGTATCTTGCCTTCTGTACTTATTAATCTGTCATTATGCATGCAAGGGTAGGGGTGTTCTAAGATTTCAGACCAATTCAGTAAATTACATACTGAAAAACTTTCATATCAAATCAAATTAACCTTTTTGGCTTGAAAATCAAACCAGACCAAACCGTTAAATTGCCGTCCTATGCAATTTCTATTATGGTTTGAATCATTCTATTATTCTATTGGGCCTAAATCAAAAAACCGAAATAACACCCTAACCCTTCTCAAGTGTTTTTTTAATGTACATGTATATTGTTTAAGAGGTTTGAGAGAGAGAGAGGGCGGAAGGGAGGCGAGCTTTCAAGAGTTTATGGTACATGATGATTTGGGACTTGTGCCATGAAGTGGTGTCCCATGCATGGCTTAATTAAAGCTCCTATATGCACAGCCAAAGAGCCAAAGATGAATACAACAGCATGGTTATAAATAATTATAGGGGCTACCGTGCATATTTAGACCCACTATTCACGTTTATGGCTTTGTGAGTCATTTTAGGCCCAATTTTCTATATAGAGTTGAATGAGATTTTGATAAATGAAGCTATCAAATGTCATTCTGGATTTTAAGAGAGGAAATTAGTCAACAGGTTCCTATTAATTAAAATATTCATATTATTTTTTTAGATTTATATGGGGTCTATGAAAAACTTATTTTTCTTTATATCCATTTTCCAAGTGAATAAATAATTTTTAATTATTTTTTATGATTGAAACGGTCATTTTATTATTTACCTGAAAAATAAGAAAACATAGTTGCTCATATAAATGTTTCATGATAAATACTTATTCAAATAAATATATTTATCCAGATAAATAAATTCCTAAAATCTACCACAGCAATAGAAGAATTAATTCTTGAGAGTGATGCCATAAGGGGGTCTTATTTTTCATCCAAAGTCCTTTCTGTGTGCATTAAAGCTATGTTTGATTTGACGGGAAAGGTAAGGAAACCTTTACATACCTTTTCCTTCTTTTCCCACCAAACACAGCGCAAGGAAGTGAGGAGGTGGTGGGAACATGTATGGCCAGTACAAACTAATTAAAGAAGGCCGGTGAACCGGTCCGGTCCTCTATACCACTAAGAGTCAGGAATCTATAATGGAAACAGCATTCTCCACGTTGCAGAGTTTGGTGGGATCCCCTAGAGAATTAAGAAAATCCAAATGAAATGAAAGTCCCGCTGATTTACCAGTTATAATAAGCTACCCGTGAATAACTTTTTTATTTTTCGCTGCAACCCGTGACTCGTGAATGTCTTACGCTCAGCATACTGTCTCTGTACGTACTTGGCACAGCAATTCAATGAGCATGAATGTCTGAGCATCATGTCCTCTTGTCCTCTTTTTTTTTTTCTTTTTTCCCTTATTTTTTATAATACCTTCCCTTTTTCTCAAAGGTCGTCTTCTCTTCTCCACTCATTTCTCTAGAACAGCCAACGCCCTCACAGGGACATCTCACTATGCATTAGAAATATTTCTCATAAATAACATATTTAATAATAGTAGATGTTCTAAATGCATGGTGGGATATGCCTATAAGATTGGTGTGAGGCGCCAAACATGAGTAGTTTCGTTTTCCTTGGATAGTGATCGATTTAGAGCTCAAGACCCTTTTCACACCTTTTGTAAAACCTTTTACAGCATTGTATTGGGAATATTTCCTTTATGTTTTTTTTCATGGAGAGATATTCTCAATATAAGGCTGCAATAAATGTGCAAACTGTGTGAACACAGTCTTATGAGGACCAAATCAGATTTCTACCTAGCATTAGCATCCCACTAATGACCAGTTTTTCCAAACCCTGTTGAGTATTGTGTTGTTCACGAGAACATAAGTTAAAGCTTGCCTTAATTAATTACCATTTAAGAGTGCATTTGGCATTTGTTATTTTTAAGAATTCTCTTTTTTTACATTTTTTTTTATTTAGTGTCAATCACCACTTATAATCTCCCTTTTCGCTGGTGGTTGTGAGAATCCATTTCGCATTAATATTGAACAAATCAGCTAATATATCAACAAATAAGAAATGCCAAATGCAGCCTAATTCTACTCTTTAAAGTAAGTTTGGACTTTGGAGATCAATCCGAGATTATATCATGGACCAGCTGACAATGTAACATTTTTATTATAAAAAAAAAGAAAAAAATCAAGCCGAGCTTATATAGTCAAAGAATATTAATTAATTAATGTAGTTGGAGTAAGTAGAGATACTGACCTGCAAAGTTGCTCCTGAAACATCAGCTTCGCAGTGAGGTTCATTAATGAGCTCCCATGCAAAGATTGTAGGATCATCCTTGTATGCAACCCCGCTAATGGAGTTTCTTCTCGTCAGAACAGTCTGCGATTAAGGTGAGAGTTGAACTTCAACAGTCCAGCGACTACAGTAGAAAAGAAACAATAGTTGAATCGTCATTAATTTATTTTCTCTTTTCATCGCCCGGTTTTCACCTACCTTGACATGATTCTTGTAGTAACCTTTAACAAGAGCGTTTGTGTAGAAATCATCTTCAGAACTCAAATCTTCTCCCCGGTCCATGGCCCACTGAACATATTGTTTTCTTCCTCCGAAATCTGGGTAGTTGTTCACCAAGCTCAGAATCAAACTAATCCCATATTTGCCGGCTTCTGAGATCACCAAGTCCAACCCCTGAAAGCCAATCACAAATTATATATCCTGTATAAGAAACTGGTTGAGGTTGATCATATTGCTGGGTAGCTAATTAATAATCCTCCATATTTGAATGTACCTTGAACATCTCCTCATTATAAGTACCAGGGGATGACTGCAAGGGACTTGAGCCTCCATCGCTGAAAGCCCAAGTTCTCGCCACCGTCATTCCATAGTTGGTTGCTTCCTGGAAGACAGAGGTGACGTTTCCCCTCTCCAGAGGATCCGATGCCATTAACATTAACCAGTAAGCGTTGAAGCCATTGAAATAGAAAGGATTCCCGTTTTTTGTGAAATGGACACCGCTCCTTCTTACAAAAACGCCGGCGGCATCATCCGCTCTAACCCGGTTGCCTTGTTGATGATCTTGAAAAAAGAACAATACTAAAACAAGGATTGTGTGAAACAGCCTCCTCCCCAACATTCTTGAACCTAAAACAACAATAAGCATAGAAAAAAGAGATGAAGCAGAGAGGCAGTCTCTGTTCTGTTCTTTAACAATTGGGAATGAGTCTTGATAGACACGAGAAAGAGCTGAGCGGTGGGTCTTGTACAAGTAAGGAAAAAAAAGGGAAATTGCAATTTGCAAACCTACAACCTCACGTGTCCTGGATTGGATGAGTTACAACAAAATACTTTGGGAAAAGTACGAGCAGACCCATTGCAGAAATCTGAACACCAGGCCAGCCCATAAAGAATTTACAATGACTCTCGAATTCAACTTTTGAAATTATAAAACCGATTCCTGTGAGGTGGTAATCCAACTCGGATTATATGTCACAATAACATTTATTTAAAATTTTATTTTGAAATTTACCCTTAAATTGCAAAGACTAAAATGACCCTGTTAGGGCCCACAGCTATTGTTCTCTCCCGCCCTCCCTATTCTCTCTCTTTCGTTCTCTCACACTCTCAACTCTCTTCTCTTCGATTGCAACTTTTCCCTCGACGACTGAACTTCGGTTGCTCTCCCTCCTCTCTCACTATCTTTCGTTGTTCTCACAGTCTCAACTCTCTTCTCTTCGGCTGCTTCCTTGCAACTGCAAGTTCTCCTCCCCAGTGGCGCCCCTCGTTCTCACTCTCATTTTCTCCTCCCCTTGCTCTCCCTGTCTCCAGTTCTCAGTCTCTCTTGCTCTCACTTTCTTCCGTTCTCGCTATCCCTTTTTCATACTCTCATTTTCTCCTCCCTCGCCCCCTCAGTCTTGCTCTCCCTTTGTTGTGCCCTCACCCTCTCCCTCTATCAGTCTCTATCGCTCTCACTTTCTCCCGTTCTCTCTCCCTCTCTCCTGCTCTCCCTCCATCTCTCTATCACTTTCTCCTGTTCTCCCTCTCTTCTATTCTCCCTCCTTGCTCTCACTCTATAACTCTCTCCCGTTCTCCCTCTGTCTCGCCCCCATTCTCTCTCTCTTTCCCAGTCTCCCTCCCCATCAATCGCTCTCCTCACTCTCACTCTATAACTTCTATTCCTGTCTCAATTTATACCAGGTGAAAGCCCATCTTAACCGTTTTTGTTTCTTGCGCAGCATTTGTCACTGTTCCATCATTTTGTTTGCCTTATCCATCAGACTAAAGTTTTGGCCAATACATTGAGGCCTTCCCTAACCGGAGGAAGTTATCATTTTGAAAACTTGTGCCACTAACAGGTATTTGACAATTTCTTTGTATGATAGTTTAATTTGTTATAGTCAATCAAAAAGTCCTTCCAAATAAATTTGATTTTTTATTTTCTTTACATTTCTATCACAGTAAATAGGATGTCGTTTTTATATAAAAATTTTTGTTAAGTTGTGTTTGATGTTGATTCATTCCTGTTGAATATGCATTGGAGAACGAGTGTACATTAGTTTACACATGGAAAAGAAGATCAAGCAAGTGTGTGTTTGTAAAATTTCTTCTATGGAAGGTCAATTTACTTTGGTTATGAAAATGTCTCTCCAAAATTAGGATGATAGTTTAGTGATAATCACTCATAACAAACATTAATAATCACAATAATCACATATTGCCTTCTCAGCATGCTATTTAAATTCCTCTTATAAAGAGCCAAATTCAGTTAATGGGAAACATTAATTTGTAAGTTGAATGTCCTCAAATCAAAGAAACCTGAATTTGTTTACCTAAGGTGAGTATTCTAGCTAAAACTAAAATAATAATTAAAAGTGATGTTGATAAAACATAAATGGGAATATGATGGGACCAAAAAGAACCCTATTTTTATCCCCTAATATTCACTATTTTACATTAATTTAGCACTTAAATGGACTCATTACTCTTGTATTTCGATTCAGGGCAAGCAAGAAGGCAATTGGAAGAAAATAGGGCAATTCGGATGATTTTACACAGTTTCGGAAATAGTCAGTAATCTAGGCATAACTCTCAATTCCGGACTCCGAATTGGACAATTCAAGAGGCATCAGAAAGATGAACGAAAGGCCCACAACTTTTATGTTTTGGGTTTTGACAGACTCGGCCAGAATCGAGTACGAAAACGAGCATGAAGTCGGAGCAAGTTCGCAGCCAGGCCCATTTCACAACTGAAGCCAATTTGCAGAAATACCTTGAAACAACCCAAGTTATCAAAGCAGCCCAACTCAAAATCAAGAGCCAAGAGTCCCAATTTCGAATGTAATCTCCAAGGAGAGAATCTTATCATATCTAATGTTTTGAATGTAATCCTAGAGAGATAAGAAGATTGAGATTATATCATTAGATAAGAGATAGGATAT